CCATACTTAGCTCAAATTTTCAACACCTCACCAAATTTTCAATCAAATCTCGTCCTTGAAACCCCCTTTCAACCTCAAAAATCGTGCGTGTCGTGCGGCTCGTGGAGCTATTTATTCTTGAACAAAGACGAAGAACCGGAAAACGCTAAAACCGTGGGTTGCCTCCCACGAAGCGCTCAATTTATTGTCTTGAGCTCGACATTCCCAACAAAAATCAACCGGGATCTAGGAAGAAATGACGATCATGCCACGCCTTTGTATTTTCCAATAGTAGACGAGTCGGTAGCACCGAACAAAGGCGGGCAAGGTAAGCTCTCGTGGCCGCGTTCTTGTGAAACCAAGCACGGATTTCGACAACCAACAAGAGAAGAGATAGATCTTTACGCATCACGGCCCCATAGTCCACCTCCGAAAATATGAATATATCCGTGGAGTACGTCGAATCAATCCCGGGCATCGTTTGCACTATCTCGAACGTGTACTCATCAAGCTCAAGCATCGGGAGCACGGGCGTAGGCACACTAAACTCCTCCATATGATCACGATCCTCAATAATATGAAACGACGCCCCAAAAGACATGGGAACCACATCATACTCAACATCACAAGTCGGCTCGTCAATCAACGCACACCTCGGGTCAACGACATCACGTGATATCTCGGAATCCTCCTCAACAACATCCACAAAATCATTTACTACCACATTCTCCTCCTCAATATCATCCTCCCGAGCACTATCAACACCGTTAAACACAATCGAATCCGCAAATGAATTCTCTCCCATCTCGTACACCATATCAACATACGACTCCATAAACTCACCCTCAACTATAGAATCAAAGCTCAAAACACTATCACCGGAAGAGGAGTTTGACTTACCTAATGTAGAATGCACGGCCGAATCGTCAAAAGAGGGAATTTCTTTAACAATCAACTCGTCGATGTCCTCACTCGTATCTAAAGATTGTGTTCCATCATAAACGAGAGTGAGGCCCACCTCTTTCAAGGAGGCAAACC